CAGGTCACCAGCGAGAGAATGGTTGTGTAATCAATCGTTGATCCTTTTGTGGTCATCAAGATGCTCTCTTCATAATAATATGTTATGATATGAAGCATTGACCCGGTATCATTTTGTATCTCAACCATGGCCCTGAAATTTCCTAGATATGATGGTAGACTGCCAGTTAGATTGTTGGAAGAAAGATCCAATAGCTGGAGAGAAGTGAGATTCACTATATTCACTGGGATGGTACCATATAGAACGTTTGACCTCAGACGAAGAACTCTCAACGACCAGAGGTTTCTTCCTATCCATGTTGGAATTCTGCCATGCAATTTATTTTCACCAAGATCAAGGGTAACTAATTTGTGACAATGTTTCAAAAACAAAGGAATTGTTCCGGACATATTGTTATTATTCAAATGTAATGACTGTAGAGAGATGGGGAATGAGTTCTGACAATCTGGTACTTCTCCAATTAAGTGACTGCTAGATAGATCAAGCACCTGAAGTGATTGCATGTTGCAAAAGAAGGGAGGCAGACGATCATTGATATGGTTATGAGATAAAGACAATAGAGAGAGGCTTGTAGCTTTTGTGAAGCTTGGGGGAATAGGTCCCACAAATGAGTTATTGGAGAGGTCTAACATCAATTGAGGAGCAAAAGGTAGTCGACCTCGTAAATTGTTAGAGCTCATGTTAAGACTCTGCAATCCTCTTGAGAAATTTGAAAACCAAATTGGGAGGTTGCCCGAGAGTCCTACTCCACATAGATATAGAGTAGTCAATTGCGTCTGAGTTTGAAGCCAAGCAGGCAATTCAGTTCCTAAATGACAAAAGCTCATGCCAATAAATTCGACATTAAAAGGGGGATGCCAATCATTCGGTAGGATCACGTTCAAGGAGTTGGAAGATATTGTAAATCCTATTAAGTTTGTGAGATTAGAAAAGTGTGCTTCGGTGATGTTACCTACTAGAGAGTTTGAGGAGAGGTATAAATTTAGTAATTGAGATACTCGACCCATACTCGAAGAAATAGTACCGCTTAAATGATTGTGCTGCATGTATAAGGATAGTAAAGATGTCCATTGTGTGCAGGCAGATAAACCATCGAATAGATTGGTTAGCTCCCCACCAATGTTATTTTGAGACAAATCTATCCAGGTCAAGTTGCACAGACCACCCATTGTTTTTGGTAGCAAACCTGATAAATTATTATTTGATATGTCCAAGAACTTCAAACTATGGAGTCTGCCAATCGTATCAGGTATTTGCCCAGTAAATGAGTTACCTTTTAAAATCAACGTCTGTAGGTTTTGAAGACCCCCAATGGTCGATGGTATTTCTCCAGAAATTTGATTGTCATCGAGATATAATAACTTCATACGGATGAGAGCACCAAAAGTCTCTGGAATACTTCCGACGATATTGTTGTATGATAAATCTAAGATTATCAAGTTGGTGAGGTTGCCGATGCTCGGTGGTATCCATCCCACAATTTTGTTGCCTGATAATTGTAATTCCAATAGGTTACTGAGGTTGCCGATGCTCTGTGGTATTTCTCCAATGATGTCATTATTGGACAAATCTAGGAACTCCAATCGGACAGAATCTCCCACGGTCGGTGGAATTTCTCCGCTGATTGAATTGTCCGACAACCCTAAATGTCGCAAGTTTGTGAAATTCCCCAGAGAAGCTAATATATGTACGATGACATTAAAATTCCATGATAAGTCTAGGTACTCCAGGTCTCTAAGGCTCCCTGGAGGAATATCTCCAGATAATTGATTGGAGCTCAAATCCAAGTGCTTCAGGCCCCTGCTACTGACATTGTTCAGAATTCCAAGAATTTCTCCTTTAAGGGAGTTGCCTGATAAATCCAATTCCTTCAGATTAAGGAGAGCTCCTAGAGCAACTTGTACCGACTCGATAGTGAGACTCCCACAGCCAGAAAGAAGGAGGTTCTCGAGGCTGGTGGCGTTAGAAAGCCATCTTAGCATGGCAGACGTGATGTTGGAATTCCCAGATAGATCCAACGTAGCGATGGTTGTCAGATTAAAAGTGGGCAAAGGAGATGGAACATATGGCAGGTCTGCATGGCTCAAACGCAACACTTCAAGTGCGGGAATGGAATTAATTACATAAAACCAATTGGTCGCCTTGGAGAGGTCGACATAACTCATGTCAAGATATTTTAGAGAAGGAATACGGGAGAGCCAATCGAGATCATCAACATGTAAATCATCATACCATCCGTGAAGGTCGAGATAGTGTAGGTTTGAGAGGTTCTCGAACTGAGGAGGAATTGGTCCATCGAACATGGCATTAGATAGGTTGAGATATTCCAAGTGGACCAGTGAAGCGATCATTGTGGGCACAGGGGCGTGGGAGAAGTTATTCATGCTCAAATCCAAATACTTCAAATGCTTCAGTTCTTGCAAAGATGGATTTACCTTGCTGGCGCCTATTGTTTCCACATCGTAAAACACATCCCACATATCGTATGTGTATGTGTAGGGGTAGCGGAGGTCGAGCTTGGTGACATGGCCGGTGGTGTTGTCGTAGGCCACACCTCTCCACCCACAGCAGTCTTTGCCGGTCCAAGAAGAAAACCAGTTGTCGGGGTCGTACATATCAGATTTGATGGCGAGGAGAGCTCTCCTCTCGCTTTCCATGCAACTGCTGCCGATTCCCTCCACCTCGACATGATCCTCATCGCCGAAGCCATGGCCGAGACAGCAGGAGACGAGAAGTAGGGCCACGAGCATCATGAGACTCTTCGAGGCAATACGTCCGTCCTGGAAACTGCCGCTACCAGCTGCAGCCATTGATCGAACGCTCAAGAGAGAAGAAATGGGAAGGTGTGAGGTTGGAGAGGATGTCTCTGTGGGTATGTATAGGCACATCACCACCGGAAATCCCCATGACATCTGCGCACATT